CCATGAGTGGGAAGGGCATTTGGGGCAGAGAGACCTGAGTGTACAAGCGCCAGGATGGCCAGCGAGGTCATTTACAGGCCCTGGGCCAGGCAGGGTCCTATCTGCTCGCCTGCAGCTGCCCCTGTTTCCTGGGGTCAGGAGAACGTCAGGTCTCTGGCAGGATGTGGTCAAGGGCTTCGGTTCTGGTCCTAAGGCCCCTGTGAGCTAGCTCGGGAGCCACAGTCAGGCCACTTTCCCCTCAGCTCCTGCCACCATAGAATGGGAGAGTTGACATGGTGGATTAACTGGCAAGGCCACCAGCAAAGATCCACGGTGGCCCCAGCAGCCAGGCTCCTCAATCTGCGCTCCCAACCACTGGACAACACTGCCTCGGGCCTGCAGGCTGAAACTGTGGTTCTGGCCCCTCCCCTGGCACCATTCTAGTCCCCAGAGGCCACTGACCTGGCTGGGCCTGCTGGCAGCTCCAGGCACCAGGCTGTCCTGGTCAGCAGGGACTCTGGCCAAGGGCTGATGGGGGTGGGGGGAGAGCACCAGAGATGGGTGTAACCGAGAATGGGGAGCAGCAGGCCCTGAGCAGACTCTGGCTTTGGCTTCAGGCTGGTGACTCTGACTTACCCAGAGGCTAAGAAACAAACTCAGCCATTGACATTGACTTTCAGACTGGAGAGGACTGACGTAACCTGTGGGCAGTGTATTAAGGAAAAAGAATGAAAAGCAGAAGCCAAAGGTGAAACAGAAAACAGGAAGAGTGTGGGCTAGGATTGTGGCTCAGCGGTAGAGCACTCACCTAGCATGTGCGAGGCCCTGGGTTCGATCCTCAGCACCACATAAAAACAGATATTTAAAACAAAGGTTTTGTGTCCAACTATAACTAAAAAATAAAATCTATTTTTAAAAAGTAGCAAGAGTGCAATGTGCAAAGAAAGGCAAGGTGAACTTGCCTGTGATTTTAATTTCTATTTTCTTGGGCATGTACTGAATTAGAATATAAATATATTTCCTGCTTCAATAACTATTAGGGAAGGGCTGAATCAGGGTCTTGGACGGAGCCCTTGAGAATAATTGCAACTATTGAATTGGTCTAAAAGATTTTTTTAAACATCTTTTTCATTTTTTTCTTTAAGAGATGGATCTTGCTGTGTTGCCCAGGCTGGCCCTCATTCTTGGGCCCAAGCCATCCCCCAGTCTCAGCCCCACAAGTAGCTGGTGCTATAGATGTGCTCCATCATGCTGGGCTCCTAATTTTTTTTATTTAAGCTAATTAGTGTCTTATTTTGTGTTGAGAGCAATCCAATTCTGTAAAATGTTAAAACAGAATAGAGTGTACACAGTTTGGAAAAGTTCCCTCCACTCCTGGCTCCCAGCTCCTAGGTCAGTTGCTCATTCCAAAGCAAGCATAGCCCCTCGGCAGCCTTCAAGAATTTTTGAATGAAGGCCCAAATATCCTTTTTCTTTTCCTTTTAATACCCTAATATATCTGCTGTTTTTCAACTTGCTTTTTTAAATTTGACTATTCAGCCATTTTTCTTGACTATTTTCCTTCAATTTTATGGAGACATAAGTCACATACCTTACCGTCCACCCATTTAAAGTGGACAATTCAGTGTTTTTTTAGTATATCCACAGCCCTTCAGCCAGCGCTACACTCAATTTGAGAACATTTTCATCAACTCAAAAGATGTGCCATCGCCATTAGAAATCAATTCCCATTCCTCCCCAGTCACCCTTATCTCTTCAACCCAGCCCCGGTAACCCCTGAGTGACTTCCTGTTTCTATGGATTTGCCTTCTCTGGACATTTCACACAAATGGAATCATGCAGTAATTGTCTTGATGTCTGTCTTCTGTCACTTTGCATAAGAGTGTTAAATTCTGTTCATTTTTCTCTCTTTTGGTGTGGGGGGGATTGAACCCAAGGGCACTTAATCACTGAGCCACATCCCCAGCACCCCCCCCCCTTTTTTTTTTTTTTGTATTGTACTTAGAGACAGGGTCTCACTGAGTTGCTTAGGGCCTTGCAAAGTTGCTGAGCCTGGCTTTGAACTCTGGATCCTCCTGCCTCAGCCTCCCAAGCCTCTGGGATTACAGGAGATCTGTCCATGTTGAGGCATTATGTGAATATACCACATTTTTGTTTATTCATTCATCATTGAGGAACATTTGGGTTGTTTCTCCTTTTGATGATTGTGAACCACGCTGTTCTGAATATTTGTGCACAGGCTTTTGTGTGGGTAGATACCTAAGAGTAGAATTGCTGGACCATATGGTAACTCTGGGTTTAAGTTTCTAAGAAATTGCCACAATGTTTTCTAAAGTAGCTGCACCAGTTGGATTCCCACCAGCCCTGTGTGTGGGTTCTGTGAGATCAGGCAATGGGCCAGGACCAAGGGAGGCAGATTTAAAAAGGCCACTGAGGGAGGCTTTATTTGAGATATCACTCCCTGGTGGAACTCCATCAGACCCACAGAGTGGACGGGAAAAGGGTCTGAGAAGAAACCTCGGGAGCTCGACTGGACTGGAATTTTATGGGGCTTACAGCAGGAAGGGAAGGGCTTGGGACAGGAAAAAGTGTTTTTAGAGTCCCTTGTCCGGCTGGAGTTGGTCTTGGGAAACTGGCTGAGATCCAGGATTGGTCAGGAGACCCTGCTGATTGACAGGCGTTTCCTTCAGCTCCTGATTGATGTTTCTTTTCTGCACTGAGGCTGCTTTGTGCTAAGTCACTGCCACCGCCACCGACCTGACAGGTTCCAATTTCTCTACATCTTTGTCAACCCTTGTTATTTTCCAATTTAAAAAATATATCCATCCTGGTAGGTGTGACTTCCCCTAGCATTTCCCAGAGGCTAATAATGATCCTGAGCATCTTTCCATCTATTTATTGGCCATTGTATATCTTCCTTCGAGAACTATCTTTTCAAACTCTTTGCCAATTTTTATTCAGGTTGTCTTTTTAGGGGGGTGGGGTATTGGGGATTGAACTCAGGGGCACTTGACCACTGAGCCTCATCCCCAGCCCTGTTTTGTGTTTTATTTAGAGACAGGGTCTCACTGAGTTGCTTAGTGCCTCGCTGTTGCTGAGGCTGGCTTTGAACTTGCGATCCTCCTGCCTCAACCTCCCAAGCTGCTGGGATGACAGGCGTGCGCGGCTGCTGCACCCAGCCAGTATGTCTTCACTTTCTTGATGGTGTCTTTTGAAACACAAAAGTTTTTTATTTTGAAGATGACCGATTTATCTACACTTTTATTACTGGTGCTTTTGGTGTCATATTGAAGGAGTCTGTCTAATCCAAGTTCATGAAATTGTTCTATATTAGAGTTCTATAATAGAGTTTTAGCTCTTATATTTAGTCTTTGGTCCATTTTGAGTTGACTTTTGCATGGTGTAAGGAAGGGATTCAATTGCATTCTTTTGCATGTGGATATTCAATTATCCCAGCCCATTTGTTGAAAAGATTCTTCTTTTCCCATGTAGTTATCTTAGCACCCTTGTTGAAAATCAGTCAGCAGGCCTGGTGTGATGGCACAAATCCCAGTTACTTGGGAGGCTCAGGCAGGAGGATTGCAAGTTCAAGGCCATCCTGGGCAACTTAGCAAGACCCTGTCTCAAAATAAAAATATAAAGGCTAGACATGGTGGTGCACATCTGTAATCCCAGTGGCTCGGGAGGCTGAGGCAGGAGAATCACAAGTTCAAAGCCAGACTCAGCAAAAGCGAGGCTCTAAGCAACTCAGTGAGACCCTGTCTCTCTAAACAAAATATAAAACAGGGCTGGGGATGTGGCTCAGTGATCGAATGCCCTTGAGTTCAATTCCTAGTACCCCACCCCAAAAAATAAAAATAAAATAAAATATAAGGGCTGGGGATGTAGCTCAGTGGTAGAGCTCCCAGGGTTCAATCCCCAGAACCACAAAAAAAGAAATCAATTGGCTGTAAATGAGAGGTTCTATTCTACAATCTTGCTGTCTTGGCATTCTGTGGGTCTCGGAGCTTGTCCTTTGCAATATATGTAATAGGGCTCCATTGATGGACACATGGGACTGCTAGTCTTTTTTGCTTTACAGGGGACAATCTTAGGAGGGCTTATTCATTTCAGGGAAATGTGTTGGGTGCCTTCTGTGTACAAGGCTCTCTTTAAGGCACTGGTGGGCATTTGGACTATTAAAAGTAAACAGGATGACTTCAGCTTGGGAACATAATTGTGAACAAAATACAACAGGGTGAGTGACAGTGGGGTTTTTTTTTTGTTGTTGTTGGTGGTGTTGGTTTTGGTGGTACTAGGGATTGAACCCAGGACCCACTTTATCACTAAGCTACATCCCCAGCTCTTTTTTTAAAAAAATTTATTTTGAGATAGACTCGTTAAATTGCTGAGACTGGCCTCAAATTTATAACCTTCCTGCCTCAACGTTCTGAGTTGCTGGGATTACAGGTGTGCACCACCATGTGCAGCAAGAGGTGACTTTTGAGCTGGGATCCTGATGATGAGAAAGAACCCTCTATGGGAAGGTTGTTCTGGGGACAGGGAACAGCAAGTAGAAAGGCCCTGGGGTGGGAATTCGTTTGACTGTTCACAGAAAGAAATCTCTGTCCCTGGAGCACAGCCAAGGCCGAGGAGAAGTGGGCCTGGGGCCAGGGAACCGCAGTCCTTAGAGCCTTAATAAGGCATTGGATCTTTTTTATGAATACAAAGAGAAGTTGCTGGAGGGCATTAAGCAGAGGAGGGACTTGATCTAATTAATGCTCTAAAAGGATCACTCTGGGTGCTTAAGATGCAGTTCTCATTCCCCCATTTCCAAGTGCTAGAGTTCTTAGAAGCAGAATTACTGGGCTGACAAGTTTGGACATCCATGGTGTTCCTGGATGCTGCCAGCTGCCTCCCCAAAATATACCTCTAGGTTTTGCTCCTTGCCATGGCCAGCAGCATGCATGCAGGGTGACGTGCCCAGCCCGCTCTGCTCCTGGATACCAGCACCCACCCTTGGGCTCTTGCTTCTCTTGCAGGACCTTTGCTGCTGCCTTGGTCCAGTAACTCTGGCTCTACCGTGCACTCCTTGGATAAAACGGGTACCCCTGGAAAATGGCAGATGAAGACCTCATCTTCCGCCTGGAAGGCGTTGATGGTGGCCGATCCTCCAGGGCTGGCCACGACGGAGAATCTGAAGCAGACAGCGATGATGATGAAGGCTATTTCATCTGCCCCATCACCGAGGACCCCGGGTCCAACCACAATGGCAATGCTAAGGTTAATAACTACTACAGCAACCTAAAGAAAAGTCAGCAGAACGGCTCCAGTGGGTCCCCGGCCAGCTCCTTTCACTTCAAGGTGAGCAAACTACCTCTTCCACCTTCTGGAACCCAGCCTGCCTGCCCCAGGGGATGGGTCTTCGCTGAGGTCCTTGGTTGGGTTCTTCCCAGGTTCCAAGCCCTGGCTGATGTTCTCAATTCTGGATCATAGGATTTGCCTGTTGAGAGATTCTGTTGGCTTAAAACCAGCTTCATCACCTTAGAGTAGCGTTTTTAATATAGTTCTTCAGGACCCAAAACACATGTATAAAAATATTTTTGAGTCTTGCTAACCTTTTTTTTTTTTTAATGGAATAAAACAGAATAAAATAGAAAATATCAGAGAGCATTGCACATTGTAAAGATCTCGTTTTCTGAACACAAGCATGTACACATTCATGCACATAAACTTGGTGAATGTATCAATTGCTCATGCTCAGAATACCAAATTTTTTTTTAAAGAAATGGAGCAAAACAAAACAGAATAGAAAGCATTAGCCCTGCAAAGTGTAAATATTTTGTGGTACATCTGTACATAGATCTTTTTTTTTTTTTTTTTGGTACCAGGGATTGCACTCTGGGGCACTTGACCACTGAGCCTCATCCCCAGACCTATTTTGTATTTTATTTAGACACAGGGTCTCACTGAGTTGTTTAGGGCCTCACTTTTTGCTGAGGCTGGCTTTGAAGTCGCGATCCTCCTGCCTCTGCCTCCCAAACTGCTGGGATTACAGGTGTGCGCCACTGCGCCTGGCCCAGATTGTACATATTTCTTGATACGTACACCCTTATCCTCAGAGGTATGTTCCAAGACCCTCAGTGGATGTATGAAACCACAAATGGTCCTTAACCCTACATAGGCTGTTCATTCCTTTATGCACATACACATGGTAAAGATTAATCTGTAAATAGGTACAAAGAAGATTAACAACAGGAGCTGGGGTTGTGGCTCAGTGGTAGAGTGCTTGCCTAGCAAGTGTGTGGCACTGGGGTTCAATCCTCAGCACCACATAAAAGTAAATAAATAAAATAAAGGTATTGTGTCTATCTACAACTAAAAAAAATAAAAGTAACAGCAATAGCCAATAATAAAATAGAGCAAGTTTAACAATATAGTATAATCAAAGTTATGTGCATGTGGTCTCTCTCTCTCTCAAAATATAGTATTGTACTATGCATGAGGATAGGATGCTGTATTAGCCATCACACGTGGGGGTCTACCAGACACACCTCCTACCCCCCACCTCCCCACACACAAATGTTGGTTATTGATTAGCCTCTGATGATGTACCCATTGTTAATATTTTTAAGAATTTATTTAACCAGATGCTTTTATTGAAAACCATTGGGTAGTGCAAGATTAAGCACTGGATTACATCAATTAATTAATCCAGCATTTATATATTAATATGTTTATTTATCTATTTGATGGGGATTGAACTCAGGGGTGCCTAACCACTGAGCCACATCCCCAACCCTCTTTATTTTTTGTTTGAGACAAGGTCTCGCTAAGTTGCTGAGGCTGGCTTTGAATTTGCCATCTTCCTGCCTCAGCCTCCAGAGTTACTGGGATTATAGGCATGCACCACCATACCTGGCTAAACTTGCACTTATTGGTTGCCTATTTATGTATCTGTCACTAGGCTGTGTATTGAGTACAAAGAGATTAACAATTGTCTGCAGACTTTTAAGAGTCTGTCTACATTTATCTAGCACAAGCATTGAAGTAAAAAAAAAAAAGTATAAGCCTTTAGAAATATAAGTATAAGCTACTTAGAAACATATCTTAGGAGCATGAAAAAAATTATCTTGTTTAACATTTACAGCCATCCTATGGGGTTTTGACTGAAGAATAGAATAAATTCTTGCTAATCATTGTTTTTGAAACAACACCTAATATACATTGCACTATAGGTGCTTAATAAATGTGATTTATCTTTCTGTTCCCACATTTTAGCTTATAGCCCTACCAATGGATCACTGCCTGTGAAAATTAATGGTTTTTAAGTTCTTCCTACGGGCTGGGGGTGCAGCTCAGAGGTAGAGCACTTGCCTAGCACGTATAGGCTCTGGGGTTCATTCCCAGCACCAGCACACACACAAAAAAAAGAAAAAGGAAAAAAAACCTTTCCACAAATTCTCAAATATCTTCTACATTTGTCCAAGTTTGTGTTAAATATTTTAATATCACCCCTGCATATGTGTGGGTACTGGGACATGGTGTAAGATATTCTTATGTTGATCATGGTCAAAAAAGCTGGGGCTTAGAGTTCTTCTGGATTGAGGAAAATGGTATTTATTTTATTAGGGATTTCTGTTCACATATGCAAAACTGGAATAAAGTGGGGGTGGGGGTGCAAGGCAAACATTATTGGACATTGTGTAATAATGTCCAATTATTTAAATAATGCAATACTGTTGGGCTGGGGATATAGCTTAGTTGGCAAAGTGTTTGCCTTGCATACATAGGCCCTGAGTTCAGTCCCCAGCACCACACACATCAAAAAAAAAAAAAAAAAAAAAATCATTACTGTTATCCTCATGTAACTTAATCTACAAACAGTATCTATTAGCACATTAAGTACCACTTCAGGATTTGCAATTTAAAGCATTCTTCTATAACTTCAGAATTAGTCTGTTTTTAGAATATTAATAATTTTAGTTCTTGCAGACACTGGGGTAAATTTTTCCTTTTAGGGCCAGAGTTCTGGCTTAAGTCACCCTAGGGCAGACAGCTCCAGAAATAGCCTGTCTCCTCTGGGGTTGGGGCCCCCTGAAGGGCAGGTTGCTGTTCATCCTGTTTCCCATTCTAAGGCAGCTTTGGAACGGCGGCGGCCCAGTCCCTCAGGAAGGGCAGCGGGAAGGCGTGTCCAGATAGCTCAAACTCGAAATGCGCACCCAGAGGGGCCCATCCTCCTAACAGAATGATGAATTTACATTAAAAGGAAGATGTGCCTCCGTAGGATTAGACTTAAAAACAATACCTATACGTATTTCAGGGGCCGAGGGAGTGGCTCAGGGGTCTAGCTTTTGCCCAGCACTCCTGAGACCCTGGGCTCAATCCTAACATCATAAAAATAAAATAAAATAAAAATCTTTGAAAAGCCTTTGGCACAGTGCTGATCCATAGTAGAGATGATAAAATCATAGCTATTTAAACATTTCAAAAATTTTTATGGTTGCTGGAGATCAACCCAGGGCCTCACATATGCTAAGCATTCTCTACACTGAGCTATAGCCTCAGCCCCTAGCTATTTTTTTAAAATATGTTGTTAAGTACAAAGACAAGTTGAAATTGTAATCTCATTTTTATTCAAAAATAGTATTAGTGTTTGTGTAGCAACAATTATTTAGAAGAGGAATTTGCATCCAACCTTTAATGGTGATTGTCTCTGGGAGACAGGGTGCCACTAAGAGGGATTTTTGATTATTTTGCATATATATATATATATATGTAATGTGTGTGTGTGTGTGTGTTTGCTATTGGGGATTGAACCCTGGGCCTTTTACCACTCAGCTACATCCCTAGCCCTATTTATTTTTTTATTTTGAAACAAGATCTTGCTAAATTGCTTAGGGCCTTGCTAAGTTGCTGAGGCTGGTCTTGAACTTGCAATCCTTCGGCCTCAGGATCCAGGCGTGCTCCACTGAGCCTGGCACCCTTCCTAGCTCTTCTCCACAGATTCCTCAGGGCTCTTAGCAGATCTCTGGGTGCATCTGACATTCTCTGATGTTGTTCTTTATGAGTCAGCCCCCACCTGAAGGCGAGGGGATGTATCCTGCTGTTCCCTGGACTCTGGTACAGAGGTCACTTGGTAAGAAGTTTGACCACCTGTGGACGGATGTAGCCCTCCACCGTCCACTCTTCTAGCTCATCCCGAGCAGGCTCTGTTGCCAGTGGTGACTTCAGAGGGAGACAACAGCCCAGTTTTCCAAACCTCGTTCTTCTGGCACCCGACATATCTAATGTGCTTTTTAAAAAATTCCTGTTGACATGGTAACCTGGGTTGTTTAGCTAAAATGGCCACCTGGCCTTCCTCCAAGGAGCACCACCCAGCAGGTACTGGGTGTGTACTAAGAAAGGTCAGGTACTGTCTTTGTCAAGGCCCAGGTTCCCCTGGGGATGTGGCAGAATATCAATGGATTGGGCAGCTAACTGGAGGATGTTCATCATAACGTGGGAAAGTGCTCCTGCTCTGGAATTACATTTAAAAAGCACAGTATGGAGTAGGATTATAGCTCCCTAACACACACACACACACACACACACACACACACATACATGCCTGGGAGGAAGCTCATAACTCACCAACAGGATTGCCTCTGGAGAGGACCTTCCACTTCTGTCTTTTCCACATTTTTCTAAAATAAGCCAATGTAGCATATATGTGTGTGTGTTTTTTTTTTTTAGAGAGAGAGAGATTTTTTTTAATATTTATTTTTTAGTTTTCAACGGACACAACATCTTTGTTGGTATGTGGGGCTGAGGATCGAATCCGGGCCCCACGCATGCCAGGCGAGCGCGCTACCACTTGAGCCATATGCCCAGCCCAACATATATATGTTTTTAATTTTCCAATCAAGTGAGAAATTCTCTTTTAAAATGTTTTGCTCTTCTGAGAACATCTTGGGGAGGTCATTCCACATCAGCACAAGTAGAGCACTCCTTTTTAAAACAATTTTTGTGCACTCATACGGTGCGATGCTACATCGCATACAACCAGAGAAATGAAAAGTTGTGCTGCAGTTGTGGACAGTGACTCAAAATGCATTCTGCTCCCATGCATACCTAACTAAAATAAATAAATTTAAAAATATCTTAGTTCACTGCATTTATATTTCATCAAATGATATGCATGGATTTATTCATTCATCTCTCCTCGAGGGGCTTTTCTTGGTGTAAGTGCTGGTTGTAGAACCCAGGGCCTGGCACCTTCTAGGTAAGTTTCTGTACCCCTGAGCTGCACCTCATGGTGCTTGAGGAATATTTTAATTGTATTTTCTAACCTTGTTATGAATAACGTAGTAATAAATATCCTA